TTTATCAATAGACATGGCAGAAATTTGATAAGTGGACATATGCATACAGATGTATGAGCATACATGTATTGTATGGTAGAAATATAATATACATATAACATATGAATTAGTATTGCATATGATGGGAATTTGTATATATATATATATATATATATATATATATATATATATATATATATATATATATATATATATATATATATATATATATATATATATACCGGCATGTTGAAATTCTGCACTGGTCACAATTTAACAAATTTGACAACATATCTGTAAACATTAACTTCTTTGGGGAAAATGTAAAGTATAATTGTTTTTATTTCAGTGCGGGTGGTGTATGGAGCCAAATAGAGGATGTTGAGACATCAAGTTTGACAGAACAGTTGAGTCAATATTACAATTACTACGGTTCATTACAGAAGGGAGAAACAAACATCATGTGGACTGAGCCAATAATGGATGCATTTGGTGCTGGTAAGTAACTTTCTAAACGCGGTGAATATCCCTGCAACATCAAATCAGCTCAAATCAAATCCACTGAATATATCTGCTTCTACAGTATAAAAAAAAATAATATTAATGCAGAATTGAATCCTTTTTCAATACAAATGAACAATAGATAATTTTTTACCAGTAGATGAGGTTGTCACAGCAGCGAAACTCATTATTACAAAGGAACCGGGTGAGATGGGCAGTAACAATATTTCTAGTAGCGTCATTGGTGTTGTCGGAATGCACATATCAGTAGAAGGACTCCTAGCCAAGGTGAGAAGGAAGAGATGACATCACAAAAAAGCAAAATATATACACTAATTTGTACTACTGTGTCCATGCCATCATAACATGCCACCTTGTTAATTACTAAACATCTGCCAGATTCGTATAATTTAGTATGCTATTCAACACTTGGGCACAAAACAAGTTTTTTCAATGAGACGTTTTTTGCAGCATTCGAAAATTCCTGTTTATATTAATCAGGTCTGTAATATTTCCACCATATTTAAATAGCATGGCTCAATATTAACACATCGCCCGTTGATGCTGTTATACATGTATACACTGATAAGGCCAAAAAAAAGAACTTATGTTGCCCTCAAGTCAAAAAATTGAAAAATTGGGTCGGTCGGTCGGTCGGATTTTGTTTTTTTTAAACTCGTGAAAACTAAGGGTATCGTAAATAGCCGAGGTATATGGGAATCAATCAAACGCATGCTAGATATTAAACACAAAAATCATAGTGTTTCTTTCAGTCTTTAGTATTTAAATACAGATCAACCCGAGGTTCAAAGTAGCCAATTACCCCCCCCCCCTCCCTGGGACCTTGGGGATCAAACAACGCTCCGGGATCGTTAATTTTTAGAGGAAACATTTTTTGACTGCTTAAAATGGTGAGTTTTTAATATTTGAGCTCGATATTTCATATTTTTCGATCAGTCGCTGAGGGCAACAAAACATTTTTTTTTTTTTGGCCTAAAGGCTATTTGTGGAGGCATTTAGCAGGCAATGTTATTTTTTGAATCACTTGTCCAAAATGTATGTTGCTTTTGTATTTACTATGGACTAAACAATGTCTATGATTGTGAGACAAACAAATGGCAAGATACAATGTCTATAATTTTGTGTGTTTATATGTGAATTTAATTTTTTTTTTTTCCAGGACACATCATCATCCCGTGAGGATTTTCTCACCTTGTTGGAGAGCCTAGCTCTGAAATGCCCACAGATAGAAGCAGGTGACAACTGTGCATTGGAATCGTTGCGACAGCATGTCTTCAAAGATGATGTGCTGACATACAGACAGGATGAAAGTAAACTATGCAATCTGAACTCAGCACAGGTGAGTTATTCCCTGTACAATGTGTGTTCTTAATTGGTATACCTGGTTATACAGTTCTTTACAGAAATTCTGTTTCATGAACATTGTTTCAATAGACCCTTTGTTGCAACTGGCCGCTGAGATCTTGTTTAGAAAGAACTTGTATTTCCCCTCAAATATATTCCTCACTCTGCAGTCCTCACATCAACTCTGTCTTCAGGCATCCAGCAGCATCATCAAACGAATTCATAGTGCCATTTCTGTATTCTGTGAATCAATAACACTTTAATTTATAATTTCATTTATTTGTTTTAGGAGTGTCTGCTTCCAAATAACACAATCTGTCATGACAGAACATTCCAGTATGATGAATGTGAGCAACAGAAATTGGAAAATCAAGATTACGTGGTATGTGTAGTTTTGCTGCTAAATCAGTGAATTTTAATTTTTGTTTTCTTACAGCAAGTCTCAGAAGTATTGGGGCAGCCAATTTGCAAACTCGCTAGCGAATTGGTTAACTGCTTGGGTTTTGACTAAAAAGTTGGCTATCGAATCTCGCTAGCACCCTCTTGTGGTCACGCCCACTATCTATATAACAGCACAGGACGTTCGTCATATTTTAGGAGCCATATCAGCCACAGTTGGATGACGATTTCACTTTCAAATATACCAGGGAAAGTGTTCTGTGTGTAATGAGGTATTCGTATACAAGGGATTGACCACACAAAAACAACGAATGAGGTCGATTTTTTTTAGCGGTTGGCTAGTGTTACCCCGACAAATCATTTAGATGTGAAAGTTTGTCATTTTCTTCCTGATTTGTAGGAAACTGTTTATCAACTTGTCTTTTTATTTAGTTTCAAGCAGTGTTGAAGATGGCTACCTCCATATATTAAATATCGGTGGATTAATCGCATTTATCATACTATTGCTTTACACCAGCTGACTGTGGCCATTCTTAGACTCGCCCAGAGTGGACACGGCCACGAGTCGCGCCAGCAAGATTTGAAAGCCAACTGTTTAGTGAAAACCCAAGCAGTTAGCCAATTCGCTAGCGAGTTTGCAAATTGGCTGCCCCAATACTTCTGAGACTTGCTGTAGGTAAAAAAAATCTGATTTTTTGAAAAAAAATGTAACATTGAACCCAATCATGCTGATTGGCTTGATCATCTTTGAACCATGCATTATTTCATAGACCCTCCAGGGGGTCTATGATTATTTGCAAAGAAATTACCATTTCAATAGCAAGTCTGCAAACACCATTGATAATATTCTATAAATGCTTTTAGGGCATGTGTGATAGTGTTGCGCCAGCAGCATCCTTTGGGGTTTTCTTCAATTATGCCATAAAAAGAAATGTTTGATTTTTAAACTGACACAGACAAATCGTTGGTGTTATGTTTCACTCTATATTTTCCGTGTGGTATAAACAGATCTTATTTGCAAGTGGCTGTCAAGATCTTGTCGAGAGTGCAGGGGGGCAGCCATAAGACTCACTTTTGCCCCTAAAATTGTGTTCCATTCCTTCCTGTACCAAAAGATGACCGACCATTATAATGATTGTTAATACTTCATCTTTTTCATTGCAGGAAGCGTCATGTTGTGGCAGTTACGACAAGTCTTGTCCAATATCATCTGCATGTAGTGTTAGTTTTGCACAGTGGTTACTTTCTATCTGTGCACTTTCTATGCTTGTTGGGAGTTAAGCTTTGTGGGTTTTTTTTTTAATTAGGGGGTGGGGGATTGCAAAATTTGAATGTAATTTTGTTAACACATTGCTGGCTGAACTCCTTCATAGACATACCAAAATCAGTGTGTGTGTGTGTGGGGGGGGGGGGGTCAGTAGGTGACGTGTTAAAAGAACTAAAGATTTTTGTTATCTTGTTAATTTTGAGTATCTTTTCAGAACTTAATCAAAGAATTTTAAAAGTGATTTATGCAAGCACAGTTAACCTATCTAACCATTGCTTACTTTTATAAAATGTATATATATATATATATAGTAAAAGACAACTTTTCTGTTCATTCAACTGATCAGTTTGGACTGGTGTTGTCATCAGTGGCTTCTCACTATGAAATTGAGTGATGTACATTTTTTTAATGCTGTGTAAATTATGGATTTACAGTCACATTTCAAAACTAGACTGAAAATTACATCTTCTGCATTTAATGTTTTATTTTGTTTTCTAAGATTCTGCTATTTATATTTTGTATTGAAAAGATACAACCTTATAGATGTGTACTTTTCTCATTACTGAATTCATGATTGTTTTGAGTGACATACATCCTGCATATTTCAAGAATGAAATATCTTGTAATGAATTATTATCTGCATAATTTCTATGCTTGTATATTTTTTTAACAGTATGTATTTTTAACAGAAATATTAACTTATCAAAAAGAGATATTTTTATAGTTTATACCTTCCTAAAGAATGGCATTTACGTAACATAAAAAAACTATGTAAAATATATGTTTAGTGTTTTAAGTATTTAATAGCATTGTGCAACTCATTTCCCAGTTCATGTTAAACTTAATATGAAATGCACATAGCTGGTGTGACTGTGTGTTGAAAGACATTACAATTTTGTGCATGTATTATTACATGCAGTGTTGAAATGTACATGGCCATGATGACATCACCCTCTACATGCCTACCAGTACAAGCAAGCAAAAAAACAAGAATTTCATCTCTCACCAGTCAAGTGGGAGTGCTGGCTGCTCATGAATATTAATGACTAATGAATATTTCTATAACCAATCACCAGGATACCACCAGTTGAAAAATTCTGGTTTACCTTTTTTTTCCAAAAATTTACAAGTTGAATATATTTGAGCATAACGGACACTTAAAAATTGGATTCTTTGTATATAAAGTACCATAAGCGAAATTATTATAAATTTGACCCTTTAGGTATTATTAAAGGAAATAAATGTGGTCACATGTATATATTGCTTCCATTTAACACACTAAAGACTGTTTTGATACCAATCATGTTTGTAAATAAACAATTTTTAATAGAAAACCTAAACTATGTTTAGTGATTTCATTGTTGATAGAATGAGATTTGTGAAAGTAATAATTTGGATTATTATGTTTAAAATGATTAGTTTTAGAAGCTTGTGTTTTGGGCTCTGTCTGTCCGTGCGTTTGTCGTCATTCCTCAAAGATGCCTGGACAGATTTTCTTCAAAGCTGATACAAAGACAAGTCATAATGGGAGACATGTGCACATCGATTTATTTTTGATTTTTTTAATCTTTTACTGACTGGCGACCATTTTTGTCCCAAAAATCAACATTTGGATATGTCATCAACCGTATCTCGGACATGCCTTGACCAAATTCATTCAAACTTGGCATTGACATCAGTCATGGTGGGTTACTGATGTGCATCATTTTTTTTCGTGATTCGATTACAAATAGCAGACCGGTGTTCTGCTCATTTTACAGAGATGATTGTACAGATTGGATTTAAATTTTATGGGAACGAATAAAATTGCAAAATTTGAACATGTCATCAACTGTTTTTCAGGCACGTCTGTGCCGATTACATTCTTACTTGCTAAGACCATTGCTCATGGTGGGTTACAGATGCATGTTATTTTCTTCTGCGATTCAAAATGGCCAATCGGTATTTTAAGAGACATTTTTTTTGTGATTCAATTCAATTTGGTCGATCTACAGTTAATTTTGAAGAAAAAGTGCTAAATCACCATTGTTACGTGTCAGCAACTGTTTCAAAGTCAAAGTCAATGGGTAACACATTAACATGCTGAATACTCCTGCAACATTCAATCATAATCTACATCTGTCATTGTTTTTAAATGATACAGTAACTAAAAATAGGCCAATGGCCTGTTGCTCAACGGCTATTGTACAAAAGATTAGTGCTGTATATGACAAATACCCCAAAAGGCAGTGAGTAAGACAATAAAACATAATGCTAAAAGTGGAATTTTGAACAAAAATAACAGAAATATCCAATAAAATTAGATTCAAAGAGAGCTTAAAAAGAACTCCAGTGTGTTGAGAGAATAACATAACATGATATTTGCAATTATCTGAATTCGTAATACATGTATATACCAAGTTTTGTTGAAATATGTTGAATGGTTCTTGAAATAGCACCCAAATAGCTTGAATTTCACTAGCTGATATGCAAATTATCTAATTTGCATAAATTTCCACCAAAAACTAAATATATCTGGAAACTGCCCCAACACATCTATGCACCAAGTTTTATTAAAACATATTAAATGGTTCTCAAGATATCACCAAAATAGCCTAAATATTGGTATGTAAATTAGGCAATTTGCATAATTTTCCATCAAAATCAATCATA